AAGATTAGAAGTTAAAGGTAGATTAACTAAACGTTATAGAGCTGATCGTGCTATATTCAAATTAAATTGAAAAGGTGGATTAAAAAATATAGACTCCTCTTACAAAGGGTTATCTACAGTAACTTATAGAGGTTATTATAAATCTAATATAAGTTATTCAGTATCTAATTCAAAACATCGTATTAGAGCATTTATAGTAAAAGGTTAAGTAAGTAGAAAATAAAAATATTATTTTATAGTATAGTATAAATAAAAATGAAGACATAGTCTGAACCATTTTGTGAAAAATGGAAATAAATATTATAATAACATATAGAACAGGCTAATTTGCGTAAGAGTGTATAGAATGAGTGCGCGGTTTAGCACCTCGATATCGGCTTAACTTATCCTCATAGATACAGAAACTATATAGGGTACGACTATTCGTCGATTAAAAGGTTATACGAGCTAGGTTAAATACGTCGTAAGACAGTATAGTTTCTATCTTCTAGAGGGAGTTAGAATAGAATAAGGATTAACCTTTGTACGAAAGGAACAGGAAAAACTTGACTCTAAAAAGTTAAGTATTATTAATTATTAATCTATGGTTTACCTGTTGTTTATATGCCCAATATTAAAAATTTGTAAAATTTTACAAAGGGATGTTACTCTCACTTAGGTAAATAAATAGTATAGGCACGGCAGGAAAGCTAAGTTAGTTAAAGATAAGTGCTGAAAGTATATAGGCACGAAGCTTACCTTAATATATTTCTAAATTATAATCGTAATATAATATTACGGTATATATTGAAATATAATGTTAACGATAGGCTTTATTTGTAAAGGTCGAGAGATCCTTAGATAATAAGTACTAATTTTAAAAATAACTATTTATTAATATATCTTACAATTTTTTTAATAGCCTGGTTAGCATAAAAGTAATATAATTATTTTATAATTAATAGAAGCAAGTGCGATACTTGCACTGGGCTTTTTAGGATTAGTAGTCAAGTGGTTAAGACATAGCTCTTTCAATACTATATCCGCGGGTTCAAACCCCGCCTAGTCTAATTTAAATTTATTATGGGTTGATGTAATAGTAACATACTTAGCTCATGACCAAGATTTAAAGGTGCAAATCCTTTATCCGTATATAGAGGCTATAGCTTAATTGGTAAAGTGTACTGCTCATGACAGTAATTATAAGTGTTCAACTCACTTTAGCCTTAAATATAATCCGAGTGCTGGAATAGGTAGACAGGGTATTCTTAAACAATACTGATGAAATTTCGTAAACGTTCAAGTCGTTTTTCGGATATATTAGGGGGATTAGTATAATTTGGTAATACGATAACGTTGCATGCTATAATCCTGGGTTCGAATCCTAGATCCTCTATTTTTTGATAATTTTTAGCTTGTGAAGCTTAATTAGTTAAGCAAAATATTAAAGCTATTTAGGTTATAAGTTCGAGTCTTACCGCGAGTATAAAGTGATGATGGAAATGGTAGATATGAATAGTTTAGGCCTGTTTGATTAAAAA